GTCGATATTTTAGAGGCCAGAGATTGCACTAATGTTTGCAATATTACAGATAATGATTATAACAAAATTAGATCATCAACTTTTCCATAGATGCCAAATGACTCAATACATATTATGGTAAAAAAAAGTTTTAATTTTAACCTATATGTCTAATTAGTGATCAAAGTCTCAATTTTTCGGCCATTTACAAATAAAATGAGTTAACAAAAACAGTACATGGACAATTATACTGTACATACCATTAGATTTATGGGTTATAATAGGCTCACAACATATTAGTTTTATTTCCCTATTTGTTATTTTTGAAAACTCTTAAAAGCTTTCTTTTATGGGAACATTTAGTTGAATATTTTAGCTTGATAAAAATTACACATAAATATCCTAATGTTATTTATCTTCAATTCTCAAATTTTTAAACTAATTTTAAACTAAAAAGTTAAATGTAAACTCTTTAGCATTATTTATAAAACTTTTAAAATTGAACTCTAATTATGTAAAGGTGTTTGGCTTCACGTGGACGCCGCTTATGCGGGCAGTGCTTTCATTTGCCCTGAATTTCAATATCTCATGTATGGCATAGAAGTATGTATTCATTACTATCAAGTGTTATAGAATAATGATAATAATAATAATAAACCTATATGAATAGTATGCCTCATCATTCAATATGAATCCAAATAAATGGATGTTGGTCAATTTCGACTGTTCTCTTCTCTGGTTTGTCACTACAAAACTGATTCAAATCTATACGTATTTTTGAAAACATTTGTAATGATGATAGGGTTAAAGATCGCTTCAAACTAACTCAGGCACTGGTTGTCGATCCCCTATATCTGCAACACAGCTATTCTGAGAGAGCAATTGATTATCGCGTGAGTGATACTAGAGTTAGTCATTTGAAAGTTAACATCATTTTTCAAGTCTTGTTTTCCTAAATTTGTTGCCAAAAGCATTGGGATATCTGCAACACAGCTATTCTGAGAGAGCAATTGATTATCGCGTGAGTGATACTAGAGTTAGTCATTTGAAAGTTAACATCATTTTTCAAGTCTTGTTTTCCTAAATTTGTTGCCAAAAGCATTGGGGTATTCCTCTAAGCCGTAGGTTTCGGAGCCTTAAACTATGGTTTGTTATTCGCAATTATGGTGTCGAAGGACTCCAGAAATATATCAGAGAAGTTTGTTTTTATAATCAATTAAACATTCATTTTTATTTACATCATTTTTCTTAATATTATTTACTTAATTAGAAAATGCATTGCTATTTAAACGTTTTTAAATAAAATGATTGAATGCATGCATTTGTACAGTAATACATAGATATGTCAACGAATGCAGTCATTATTTAATTTATCAATACGTTTCATAAATTACAAGTTTTAATTGCATCTTAAACTAACAAAATGTTACATAAGATATAAAACTATTTAAAACTATTTTTAAATTATAATTTAGTTTTGAAAAATTTGTAGTTAGAAATTGATAATTATTAAAATCATTATGTTTACTATTTTTACAAAAATTATAAGAATTTAAATTATTTATAACCAAAAATCATTGATTAACTGATTGGTCACTTACAGCACGTAAGACTGGCTAAACGTTTTGAGCTTCTGGTGAGAAAAGACGAAAGATTTGAAGTTATAAATGAAGTGCATTTGGGATTAGTCTGCTTTCGTCTCAAGGTATTCACTGTTTGTGTATTACTGTATCAATTAGTCGGTTACTAATAGCCATATTTGTTACGGAAAGGGCACTAATATAATAAACCAGAAGTTGTTGTCCTCGATTAACGCATCTGGCAAATTGCACATGGTGCCCGCTTCGCTAAATGACCAGTACGTGATCCGATTCTGTGTGTGCGCCCAACGGGCCAACGATCAGGACATTGACCACGCGTTTGATGTGATCAGTCAATTCGCTGCAGACCTGTTCGAGATCATGGAAATGGACACAAAAGCGCGCAAACAAGTGGAAGAAGAGCAGAAGGAGAACGTGGAGGACGAGGCCGTCGACGAGGTGTTTATGTTAGACCGCAAGAGGAAAATGAGTCTCAGATATAAGCGAAGTTTTTTCGTGCGAATGGTTTCCGATCCCAAACTCTATA